TATATTTCAGACAGGTGCTTAAACATGACACTCAAAACACAGTGAAAAACACATTATAAACTTTTATTTCCAATTTAACGAGGTCCAGAGTTGAAAGTCACTAATCAGGCTGATTATTTTTCCAGATGTTCATTCTTATCCTGCATTAAAAAGTATACAGTTGTTCTATTTTTTTATGAAAGTAATTGAAATATTTTTAAGGGATTGTAGTCTGTAAACTGTCGAGCTGTGTTTTCACGAAATTTATAGAATACAAAAATTATTAAGATTTTTCAAGAATGATGCACGAAAATTTGAATTGTCGAGGTAAACATCCTAGGCAAATATAGATGCAAATTCTACGCAAATATAGCTTCTTTCATAGTACGAGGGCCATCCAGGAAGTAGATTACGTTTCCGTCTGTGTCCGCTAGGGGCGGGGCTAGCGCGGCCATCTTGGGGTCAGAGCGTTGCGCAGCTCAGTCTGCATCTAGCCGTGCTAGTGAGAGGTTCGTGCTGTGCTCCGTTCAGATACTGTGACGGTTTGAAATGTCTGCGTTAATTGAAAATCCCGCGAGCTGCGAGGTGCGCTCAGTAATAAGGTTTCTGACTGCAAAAAACTGTAAACCGATAGAAATCTATCGGCAAGCTTCGTGAAGTGTATGGGGACAACATTATCACTGAAGGTGGTGGAGTGCGTCAGTGGGTCATAAGATTTCAAAATGGCCGAACCAATGTTCACGACGAAGATCGAAGTGGGAGACCCAGCATAGTGACCGCCGAACGAACTTCTCGAAAAAAGTCGATGCTAAAGTCCGTGAAAATCGAAATTTCACAATAACGGAACTTTCTTTGAGTTTTCCACAAATTTCGCGAAGTTTGTTGCACGAAATCATCAGCGAAAAGCTTGGTTACCACAAGTTTTGTGCAAGATGGAAGGCAAGAAGAGGTAACGAAGTGGTTGAAGGCGCAGGCGGCCGAATTTTTCGACGAAGGAATTTCCAAGCTCGTACATCGCGCTACGATAAATGCCTTAATTTGTATGGTGACTATGTAGAAAAGTAGTATTTGAGTGTGGCTTTCATCTGTATATAATAAAATTTGTTTCCTATACTTTGTTTATTTCTTTATTCCAAAACGTAATCTACTTTCTGGATAGCCCTCGTATATTTAATTCTAATTAACTGAAATCTTACACGTAAAAGCTGCAACATTAAAGTAAAATCAACTCCTTAGTTACTGATATTAAATACTGTTTATTTCGTGAAGGATTTTACAACATACATTAGCTGCAACATAGTATGATCACAAGCTTTCTGACAAGGACTATCAAAACTATTATTTATAAGAACAGTCTTTTAAGAAGTTTTCATCTGCACTAAACTAATTAACGTCTCTCAAATACCATGTTTTCTCTCCTATTTAGCGGCCGTTGACCGAAATGGCGTCGAAAGACGGTTGCGAAGTCTCCGATTGCAGTAAAAACTTTAATGAAGCGAAACTACTTCTACTTTACACAAATCATAACCCGTAAACATACAATAGTTAAATGTATCCCTAAAAAACGGAATAACATAATCCAATAACATAGTCCCTTGAAAATAAGTATTTAAATAACTGTGGGGTTCTAATGACCGAATTTCATGGCGATGACAAGGTTGCAACGTGCTGCCAAACGCACGGCAATGAATAAATGTAAATTAATTACGTGAGGCCATTTAGCGTGAGAGTGAACATCTTCCATTTAATGCAAAAATATTACTTCCCGAGCTTAAAAAAAGTATTGGTATTCTCGCAACAGGTGACTTATCGGGCCGTATCTATAACAACAGGTGACCTACACAGGTAATGGGTATGAATCACGTGATACAACATCCTAACGGAAAATCATCAAACGAATCTTGTTGATACTGCTATGGTTAGTTAGTTGTAAGCACTGGCCCTCAGCCCACCTAGCAGGCGAAACCTGCCATATGGCTATGAGGGGACAGGCCAAGTCACACAAACAAAAAAAACGTAAAGCATAACAAACAAAAAACGTAAAGCAGATACATACATTCCAAACACTCTCGGTGAAATAGTATATAAATGTGTCGTTTCCATTTCTGTGTTTTTTCCTAAGTTTAAAATCTTCATAAGTTTTACTTTCAGTTAGTTATTATTATGATTCAAATCTTCTTTATATTATCAAAATTCATCTTAAAGTTACTTCAATTATTTGTTTTCAGAATGATTTTTTGCTTTGTTATATCTCGATACCAATATTCTTCTTATTCTCATTCACAGTTTGCATAGCCCACCAGCGGCCAAGCGGTAAAGTCGCTGAACACTGGTAGTTCGGTTCGAGGTACTAATCCCGCGAACGGGCTGGCTGCATGGGCGTTTACGTGGTTTTCCACATGTGTAACGTGTATACGAGCCAGTTTCCCTTAGAAAGTTCTCCACAAAGGCATCCCTCCCCTTAGGCAGATAGCCCTAGTGTGCTTTGCCATAATTAAATACACACACACACACACAGTTTGCATAATATCTCTTGCAAATTTTCTAAACAATTTATAGGTACTAAATAAATCCTCAAACTTCGCAAATTTATATTTTCCTCTCACACTTCCAGTCAGGCAACAGTTCTCGACGAAATGCTTTGAATCGCCTAATTTATTACAAACTTTACATATATCATTTTCCTGGAGGTGGAACCTTTTTAGGTAAGCAAGGAACCTTCCATGCGTAGTGATAATTTGATTGACATCTACATCTCCTAAAATTCGCATTCTTTTGCTAATTTTTAAACATTTTAGATAGTTTTTGTTTCTTTCAAAGAGATCCCACAAATTTTTCCAGTCTCTAATAAGCTTGCTATATACTATAGTACAGTTTTTTTTTTTTTTCCGAATCTTGAATAGAAATCTTTTCGGTCCCAACCCCCAGTGCAGGATCCTGCTATGGTGTTAACACTCACAGAATAGAATGTCTATGGCATCATTTCAAACAAATAACTGTACCGAATAAAAGAGAAACAACACCTGCGACGCTGTTATATCACCTTGCTAAACTCATGGCTAAACTGCGGTAGCAATAAATCCCTAAAACTATTTTTATTACCTTCTGCGAAGCTTCCTCAAGCATTCGAATGCTTTGGCAATCTAAATAATCCTAACTCACCAGCTTCTAGAGTAAAAAAATTCCAAAACATAACTTCTTTGCTAATTTATTGACATTGAGAACCAAATAGTAATTAGTAATTCAGCAACGAGACGTTAAGTGTACTGAAACTTCAAAATATATGTGGTGTGGTGTATTTAATTATGGCAAAGCACACTAGGGCTACCTGCCTAAGGGAAGGGATGCCTTTCGTGGAGGACTTTCTAAGGGAAACTGGCTCGTATACACGTTACACATGGGGAAAACCACGAAAGCGCCCATGCAGCCAGCCCGTTCGCAGGATTCGAACCTCGGACCGAACTACCAGTGTTCAGCGACTTTACCGCTCGGCCGCTGGTGGGCCACTTCAAAATATAAAACACAAGTAAGAAAAATGTTAACAAAATTAGTTTCAGAAATTCTGGTACTTTTCCGTTTCGCCGGCGCAAATTTCGCCAAGCAGACTTTGTTGGCGACAACATACAGTATACACATAAAAAACGTTAACAAATGTTAATTCTAAGAATTTTTTATTTTGAAGGCATAATCATTTTAATACAGTTTAAAATTTTGTAAGAAGCCAATAAATTTGTAAAAAGATATGAATTTAAGAATTTACTGTGCTATCATGGTTCAACATCCTGATTCGTCGGTTCGTATCACGTGACTCCAAGTGATCTCATCTCACCTAAACAACGCTACAAAAATATAATTCTCTCAGTAATTATCTACATTAATTCCAAGTTAAATCTTAATTTGGAATACAAGTTTAAATGCAAGAATTATTTCAATCCGTACGAATAGCTGACTCAGAAATTATGTAAAACCGTAGTGCTTTACTTCGCTAGAGCATTCTCATTAGAATGGATGAATTTAACCCTTAATTTTGCCTTTTCTATATTTTACCCTTCGGGTGAGTGGTGTGATTGCATCCTAATTGACTTAATTACCGCGAATGGTCTTAGAGCATAAAATTTAATTATTTTTGTAAGTATTCTATGTAATTATATTCCAGTATCGAAAGAAGCAATCGGTCTGGTAAGAAATGGCTGTGACTTGTTTTGAAAATGAGGCGTAAAAAGTTACCAGCGAAGGTATTCCCTTTGGCATCAGTTGCACCATTATTGGCGACTTTATCGTTTGCGCAGGCAAAACGGAAAAGTACCAAAATATTTATTTTTATCACGAAAGGCAATGATACAATTAAAAAAGTTCTGCGAACACAAACAATGATAATACAAAACAAAAAGGATAAAGGGAAATCTTTCACTTTAGCTATCCCCCGAAGAAACCAAAATTTATCAATTGTTCTTCAACATCCATCGACTTTGGAAGCGTAACTGAACATAATTTTATCTTTATCACGAATCTATCACGTTCTCTAACAAAACACTTAAGATTAATTTATCTCTAACAGATATTTTAACGAAAGCGCACTTCAACTTGCGATCTTGTGAAAATTATCTGCTCCACACACCCCTCAAATGTTTAACTAAAAGAAATAAACAAACTGAACAACCCTTCGGTAACTGTTTCACCACAAACGAAAGTTCGATATCACGAAGAATACTAACGTCACTCATTTCCTTCTTCCGATAAGAGCATCATCTGCAAAATATCCTGTTATTTTTCTGCTACTCATACGTCTACGGATGATATGATTACGCTATCTACACCTTCAAAAAGACATCCGATTATCTTCGAGGACGTAAGAAGAGATACCAGCTGTCCTTGTGAAATGTATTAGATATTTATCAATTCGATGCCATGCTTAATGAAAACATTTGGAAAAGAACATTGCAAAAGTATACTTACACAGTTTCATAGTATAAACAATTCTAGGTGTATTTAAAAATATATTTAATATTTAAAAATCTTACCAGAAATCTAACGCAACAAAAATTCCGCAGACTAAAACATCTTCCGAGAAAACAAGATTACTCAGAAACTTTACAGCTCAAATTCCTGAATTTTTTCCTCCTAATAAAAAAAAAGCAAAATATTTTAATAGTCTGAATATTACTAAAAATAATGCGCTACATTTCCTAGATCACATTAATGGCTGGTTTTACCGTAAAGATATACAGATAAACATAGAGCCTATCTGCTTCAGACAAAAGGCACTTTCATGGAGGACTTTCTATTGATAACTGGTTCGTATTCATGTCACACATGGAGAAAGCCAGCTACACAACCAACCCGTTCGCCGGGATGAATAGCCAGTACTTAGTAGTCTTTAACACTACTCTGTAAAGAACCGTTCAGAATGGGGTTTATCTGAGCTAACGGAGTTAACTGACGTAGACGACCCATCTCCAAAACCAGTTTTCCCCATAGGGCAGCGAGTTGAAAAATCTGAACTGCACGCATAGCGGAGCTCGTCGACACATGAAACTCACTCCGTTAGCTCATAAACCCCAGTCTGAATGGCCTTGAAGAATTCGACAATAAGAAAAGACAGGTACCTGAGTATAAAGTTTTATGTCTATTACTTTCGGCGGCTCAAACCAGGATGCAAATTAGTTAACGTGCATAAGAAGAGTTCAGGATACGAACTAGTTAACGTGTTCTTACGAATCTTGTATATATATATATATATATATACATAATTTTAGTAAAATTGTATGTGAATTTAGTAAAATTATATGTGAAATTGTTTTCCCCCTCTGTATAATGTAACGTGAAAATCTAAAGAGAGACAACGCTCTGCCAGTAAAATAAGAATACAGGCACAAGTCTATTGAGTAAAAAGCTATCTCGCCGAAAATCGCCACACTTGGCGAACATTTGGCGACATTTTGGTCCGGTCCCAGCATAATTGTAATGGATACTGCAACTAGACAACTGTAAGCGCTCTGTGTAAATGTAATCCTATTCGACTCTCATACGACTTGCAGTAATTTCCGAGAAGACTAAAGTACTAGAAATATCTCGAAGGCCGGGTGAAAGCTATATAAAGCAAGAGACAGCCTTTGCTCTCAGTTGTTAGTTCAGTGAGAGTTCGGAGTACTGAGATACTTCCGGGTTAGCTTCGCTCTTTAGATGCGCTTTACACTGCATTCTGTTTAAACGTTCTTAGTAGTATGAAGTGTAACTACTGATTGTACTCTGTGACACTGTGAAGAGTTGTGCGACTATTTTGTGGAAAGTTCCAGAAGTGTTACTTTTGGTAAAATAAATTTTATCAATTCTGTGTGCATCCAATCTATTATGAACCTGTACGCACACAACAGTGTATAAAAACATAGTTCTTGAATTAATTAGGAACCTTTTAGCAGCGATTGCTGACCTTTCTCCTCACTTTTGCTAGCCGTGTTTGCTTGCGCCAGATGACCTGAGGCAGAGCTTCAGTTGGACTTTGCCTTGTGAATGAATACTTGGTTTTATGTTAGCTAAAATCTCGCAAGCAGCGGTGACTTTATTTTGTAATATAAGAGCTGTGTGTTAAGTCGAAGTTCTAATAAAAATTTATTTAACAGCAAATTTTAAGAGTGGGCGATAAGTCGCCTGACTCTTCACAAAGATAAAATTTAGCTTAGAAATACACCGACTCCACGTAACCGGTTCTGTTAAAATAATAAATCAAAAATACGATTTTCTACAGTACCGTATTTTATCATGATCAAACTAACGATAATGCAAATCGACGGCAAACGCTATGCTACTGAAAAAGTGGTAATCACTACAGATGCAAAAGCTTAAAAATGTTTTATTATAATCACATTTTTCTCAAACCACCAAAGAGACAAATTCAAAATGATTCGAGGTTTTTTTTTTTTTTTTTTTTTTTCCAGAATTTTATTTCACCGCTAAATGAAATTTTAAAATTGGAATTTATTCTCAACTAACATAACAATATAAGTAAACAATGACCATGAAACATCGAACAACCAATGAAATAGTTTTCAGCCCTCAAGATAACCCCTGCATTGTCTCATTTCATAATATTTTGATGTGATAAGCCTCCCGCCACACAAAAACACTAGCACAGTATATGTTAATTATTCAACTCGTCTGGATAAGATAAGAAAAAAAGTAAGCTAAATGACATGCATGTTTAACAAAATAATTATTTCAAAAACTTAGAAAAACAAAAAAAAGTACGTACGAGAAATGTGAAGGAACGAGTCTTGTATCTCTCGCATTCTGTTAGGTTACGTTATTTAAATACGGCAGAGTACACGAGGGCTATTTGCCTAAGGGAGGAATACCTTTGTAAAGGACGTTCTATGAGGAATTGTCTCGTATTCAAGTGACACATAGGAAAAACCACGGAAACCAACCATGCAGCACGCCCATTCGCCTGGGTTTTAACACAGGACAAACTACCAGTAGTCAGCAGTACTCAGCAGTATTTAATCTTCGACGACTAGCGGATCTCTGTCGCATTAGGCATAAACAATGGTGTTGATATTATTAACTTAAAAATAATTCTGATGACTATTCTGAGTTTTTATTATTATTATTAAACAAAGCAATTATTTTGTCCACACTCAAGTGCTCATACTTCACGGTTCCTTAAAAATAAAAACATAAAAGAAAATCTGAAAGGTTTCAGATTTTAAACTAGTCCTAGAGCGGTTTTTTTTTTTTTTTTTTTTTTCTTTTTTTTTTCCCTATTAGTTTGTTGCATTATTTGTAAATACCTGTTCTTCGCATTTAAACAAAATTCAGTTCACGAGCAATATCACAAATAATTCTAAATTGAACATACTTGGATTTCCGATACACATCTCCACGCGCTGGAGATTAAATGTTGTTTGTACCGTTGCCTTGCTCGCTGTGAAATCCTGAGACCGTTAATCAAAAATTCGTTAAAGTTTTACAAAATATGAAATCAATAATAAAAAAAAATTCCAAATTTCAAATCTGGGCTTCCAGATGCCCTTATTTGCAGTAGGATTAAGACATTCAAAACTGGATGGCTCTAGATACCGTTGTTTTATCACAATGCGAGGAACATGCATTTATGCATATTCTTATTCATTATTTAATCTCTTCAAATATAATATAGGGCGATAATATTTAATGGCAACAGTGAAACGGACATGCAGAGTTATTCGACGCAAAATACAAAACGAAAACAATAATCCCTCAGGAACAAAGGCCCATTTAACTTAAAAAAAAAAAAAAAAACTTAGAAAGAAACCTTCAGTTAGCCTTTTTTTTGTTTTTTGTTTTTTATTTCCCTAAAAGTACTAATCTAAATAATCTTCTTCTAATCCTATAGTTTTATACCAATACCGTTTTTATGTTCTATATGTATAAAATAGGATAAAAATTCCTTTGCTTTTAAACTTGAAAAAATTATTTCTTTGCCAACCTTACTAAAAACTGTTACCATTAGGAGGTACGCAATATATGGCGTTAAAAACAGCTTTTACTTATTATAACAACGTTATGAATACTTATAAAAGTTATCATTTGGGTGTCTTACAAATTACATCCAATAAGATTACTAAATAAAATATAAATTATTAAGAAATATATTTAGTGCTTTTAAATCGCACAGTTAGTTAAAGAATCTACTCCTTAACTGGGAAGATCTTACTGGATGTCAAACGGCAGTAGATGTCCCTTTAAGTTAGCAATATTTGTCAGGCGCTTGGATAATAATAACGGCGAAAACTAACATAACGATGACCATGAAAAAGGAAATAAAGGGAAAGAGCGAACTACTAAGTCATATGTATTTCTAACGTCACAGGGTTCATTTAAGATTATCTTTCTCAAATATCATTCTCTTGTTTGTCTTTTATAAATGCTGTTAACTCACTCCACTCAAGATGGTATTGTATTTATTTATCAACCGAAAATCTCAACAGAATTTCTTATATCTTTTCGATGAGCCCCTAACGATTTCTAGGGAAACAACCTGAAAACTTATTTCTGAAAATAAAAAAATCAATCAACAACTAAGTAAAATTACCATAAAAAGGATCAACAATATGAGATAAAGTAAATTTTGAGTAGTTAAAGAATGTGAAAATTATTTACCAATAATTACATTATTAAAAATTAGCAGAATAAACACATTTTGAATTATCAAAAAATATCGGATAAAAGTAAACAAAATTTGGCATGGATCGAGAGAAATATAATATAACAATTTATATTACATTAACAATGAAATGATAGTGAGGTATGCTTAACAACGAAATGCTAGAGAGGTATGCTTATGAGAGCAGAAATACCAAAAACCGACAATGCAAGATGAAGTCAAAAATGAGACTACGCAGCTTGCATAGCAAATCGTCTTATTGTTAACAAGACAGTTGATAAGTACTTGGCATCCATTCCTGTAGCAAAGTAATTAGTTCTTAGTTCCTGGATGGTTCTCGGAGGTAGTTGACGAATCACAAAATCGCACATGGGTTTCTAAGATCACGTCTGTTTACCATTAGCTGCTAAGCAGCTGCTGTCAAATACATGAAGTTGTGTACTCCCATCTAACATACTGCTTACCTAGGAAATGAAACTCAGCAATGGTAGCTTTCTCTGATGTTGAGGGAACAAAGCAGGGTGATGAAGGTACGTCTAGTATCAGTGTTCTGTGCTGAATCTACACTCATCACTAAAGACACTTTCAACCCACTGAAGTTGTGGCTTATGCTGACGTTCTCTGCACTATGCCAGTCTCTTAAACCAAAAGATCTATGCAGACAGCGAGCCCAAAAGCCGTCTCTAATAAAGCCTTCGAGAGATAAAAGTAATGTTCGAAACTACGGTTCCAGTGGTAGCAGACAGCTTAGGATAGAGCTGTATGCGGCAGAAAGTGCCAGATATCGATCTGCATTGGGTGGTTTTGGAAAACCTTTACTTAGATATGGATCCAATCTCCAGAAACTGCTTTCCCAAAATGCAGATGACATAAGTGTGACCACGCTGCCTGCAATTTACTTAAGATTCTCCACCTCATTCCGTCATCTAAACATAAGTGGTTATTCATTCTACTGCACTACTTATAAAATTTTACAGTA